GTTAAAAAAACAGAGTAGGGGAGTTAGTAGTGAGAGATGGAGGTATTAGGTAGAATGGCGAGAATATTTTGAGGAACTTTTTAAACTGTTAAGGAAGAAATCAGAGGGCAGTAATTTCATGCACTGGTCAGGGAGGTAACCATCTTTTAGAGTGAAGAAGAAGCAAGAATGTAAGTGTGGGGTGAGGATACGTGAGGCATTACGTAAAAGAAAGGGTAAAGCAGCTGGACAGATGGGGGATCATGACAGAACATGTTAAAAGCACGGGGTGGATATAGTGTTGAGTGGTTTGGTACTTTGTCAATGAATGTATGAAAAAAAAGAAGGGAAGGTACCTAGGGATTGGCGGCGTATACATGTAATAGTCCCTTTATATATAAAGGAAAGGGGACAAAAGAACGAAAAATTATAGAGGAATAAGCTTACTGAGTATACCAGGAAAAAAGTGTACGGTAGGAGTTATGAAGTGAAAGAATTAGAGTAAGACAGAATGTAGATTGTGCGATGAGCAAGGAGGTTTTCATAGTGGTAGGGGATGTGTAGATCAGTGTTTACATTGAGCATATATGTTAACAGTAAATTTTAGAAAAGGTAGGGTAGTTTTTATTGCATTTATGGATTTAGAAAAAGGCATATATAGAGTGGATAGAGGAGGCAATGTGGCAGATGTTGCAGTATATGGAATAGGGGTAAGTTTATTAAATGCTGTAAAGAGTTTTATTTGAAGATAGTGAGGCTCAGGTTAGGGTGTGTAGAAGAGAGGGAGAACTATTTCCCGGTAAAAGTAGGTCTTAGACAGGGATGTGTACTGTCACCATGGTTTTTTAATATATTTTATAGATGGGTTGTTAAGGAAGTAAATGCTAGGGGTGTTTGGAGAGGGGTGGGATTAAATTATGGGGAATCAAATTCAAAATGAGGAAATGACACGGGGAAGTTACTTTTTGCTGATGATACTTGTGCTTATGGGAGATTCTAAGAATAAATTGCAAAGGTTTATTTGATGAGTTGGAATGTGTGTAAAGGTAAAAGTTGAAAGTGACATATAAAAGAGTAAGGTGATAGGTGTCAAATGAATTAGAATAAAGAAAAATTGGATTTCAAATTGGGAGGAGGAGTATGAAGAAGTGAGATGTTTTCATATACCTTAGGGAGTTGACGTGTCGGCGTGGATTTTGAAAGGATGAGGTTTAATCATAGAATTGATGAGGAAAAAAGGTAGTGGTGCTTGAGGATATGTGGAGACAAAAAACATTATCTATGGAGGCAAAGAAGGAAAGTATGAAAGTATTAGTAATACCAACACTCTTATATGGGTGTGAATCTTTGGTGGTAAAGGTGCAGCAGCGATGAGACTAGTGGAGCAGTGGAGAGTCCTGTTTAAGGGCACTGTGTGGTGTAAATATTATGCAAGAAAATTCGGAGTGTGGAAATTATGAGAAGTGTGGAGTTAATAACGTATTAGTCCAGAAGGCAGAAGAGTGGTTGTTGAGGTGTTTGGTCATTTAGAGAGAATGATCAAAGTAGCATGACTGGAAAGCAAATAAAATTCTAAGGTAATGGAAGGCGCGGGTAGGGGTCGTCCACGAAAGGGTTGGAGAGAGGGGGGTAAAGGAGGTATTGTGGGGTAAGGGGCTTGACTTCCAGCAAGCGTGCGTGACGTGTAATGATAGGAGTGAATGGAGACGATGGAACTTGGGACTGACGATCTGTTTGGAGTGTGAGCAGGGTAATATTTAGTGAAGGGATTCAGGGAACCGGTTATTTTCATATATCGGACTTGAGTCCTGGAAATGGAATACAATGCCTGCACTTTAAAGAGGGATTAATGATATAGGCAGTTTGGAGATATGTTGAGAAACTTATATGTGTATGCTTCTAGACTGTTGTATACTGAGCACCTCAGCAAAAAACAGTGATAAATGTCCGAGTGTGGTGAAAGTTTGAATGATGATGAAAGGTATTTTCTTCTTTTGGGGATTTCTTACTTTTTTTTTGGGTCACCCTGCCTCGGTGGTAGACGGCCGACTTGTTGAAAAAAAAAAAAAAAAAAAAAAAAGTTTCTATTCTCAAAGGGAACTTCTACTACCTTCCCAATTCCCGTGCAGTTTTTGGCACTGAACATAATCTTTCCAGAAACTGGTAAGCAGGGTTCAATACATCATAAACTTGTGAGGCCCTCAAAACCCTTGACAACAGTAACTTCCACACCATTTTATTACAATACAACTGTACAACATTTTCCTTGGTTATTACTTCTCAAACTGCTTACTTCGATAATATATATTTGTTTGGTATAAGTTGTGTTAAAATATCTAATGTTTGCTGTAATTTGGTAATGAAATGTGGCTTATTTTCACCAAAAGCTGATGGGAGGTGAAGGTGGTGAGGAGAACAGTGGCAGTAGCTGACACTTCCCTGTCAACATATTAATAATACTGAATTTTAAGTAAAAGGACACAAGAGCAACTAAAGTGACATTTTATTGTGGCAGACATTTCGCTTATCCAGAAGCTTTCTCAAGCCGAAACGTGGCCACAATAAAAACGACTCATCGTATGCACTTATATCCTTGTACAGTACATATTGTTGGAATTTAACCAACAATATTACACATAATTATACTGTCTGGTATGGTACATGGCCACATTAATTAACCTTCTCCACACATTTCCAGCTCACTAAAGAATACAACTTCCATGTAAGTATAAAAAACTTTAATATTTTTTCATGCATAAAAAAATTTAAGAAACTTTGTTAAAACCTCCATTTATACTCTGATGAACGACAAAATGTCCTAACCAATTTAGAACACTAAGGAGGAAAGAGGATGAGAAGGTTAAAAAAAAACAAAAAAGACACACATCTCATTTTGTGAGGATGTCACTTATAAAACCTGGAAAATGTTAACTAGAACAACCTTCAGAAATAACTTGACACCTTCTGGGCTATTCATATTCAGCTGGTTTGAACTGTATCTTAGCTAATACATAGATTTTTAGGAAAAATGAAAACCCCATATAACCTTTAGAAGTGAAGACACATTCTGAGGCATTCATCTTTTTTTAACTGTTCTTAGTTAATACCTGGATTTATGTCTGTATGTACTTTTACTCAAAGTATCTCAACATGTTAGCCCTGATGATGCAGAGAATATGACAACCCTGCAAGTGTTGACTGCAAGCAGGAAATAGATAATTTACTCTCATCTTTTAATTAGGCCCATAGCTCCCATGGTCCTCACAAGGGGAAAATGGAACAAATCTTCCTCTGTAAGCTATGCGAGTCGTAAGAGGCGACTAAAATGCCGGGAGCAAGGGGCTAGTAATCCCTTGTCCTGTATAAATTACTAAATTTAAAAAGAAAAACTTTTCTTTTTCTTTTTGGGCCACCTGCCTCGGTGGGATACGGCCGGTTTGTTTGATAGAAAGAACTCCCATGGTGATAAACAATTTAAATATAAACGGTAAGTTGGGAATTAAGGTACTGGAGATGGGAAGCAACAATGCCATGCATTCTGATAGGAGGGGTGCAGAAGCAGCAGTGTGGAAGTTCATTTGAATTCTGTTACAGTGTGGGAAAGGACAAATTGATGTGATGTCCTGCGCACTTCTACAAGACAGCAAATAAATGAATGATTCTGGAGAGAATTTTCTTTTTTTGGATCACCCTACCTTGGTGGGAGACAGCCAACGTTAAAAAAAATATACTGCATATACTGAATAAACATTATCATAAATATTCTCATAGGATATAAAAACAGCACATGTATTGACAACTGATGAAGAAAAAAATATTTACTCCTATCAGCAAGGATTGTAAATATAACCTCACAGTCTTATACCTGACATTATGCAAAAATCTGATTTGAGGACAAGTATATCTCCCTTCTTCCTCAGTTTTATGGCTAAGGATCCTATGGTGTTGTTGAGGTGGTCTGGACATGTAGAGAAAATGGAACAAAATGGAATGACTTTGAGTCCATAAATCTGTAGTGGAGGGAAGGCGGAGTAGAGGTCGGCCTAGGAAAGGTTGGAGGGAGGGGGTAAGAGAGGTTTTGTGTGCAAGGGGCTTGGACTTCCAGCAAGCATGCATGACAGTTAGAAAGGAGCAAATGGATACAATGGTATTTAGGATTTGACGAGGCTTGTTTGGAGTGTGAGCAGGTAATATTTATGAAGGGATTACAAGGAAACCGGTAGGGCCGGACTTGAAGTTCTGGAGATGGGGAATACAGTCCTGCACTCTGAAGGAGGACTATTAATGTTGCAGTATTTATAACTGATGTGTAACACACGCCTCTGGCAAGTACAGAGATTGAAGTGAATGATGGTGCGAGTTTCTCTTTTTCAGGCCACCCTACCTTGGTGGGAAATGGCCGATGTGTTAATAAAAAAAAAACCCAGACCAGCACTGTCTCACTCCCTCCCCCCAAAAAAATCAATCATTCATTCAACAGCTGTAGGCTAAAAATGACATAGCAATCACAGTTCCATATAACCCTCCAATTGGTAACAATCTCCCCCCTGCTTAGAGTAAAGTGCACTTTTAACTCTACTGCACTCTATATTTAAATTTAAAAAGCTTCAACATTAAAGCAATGTTTTCTGTTAAAATGTTCTAAAACAAACAAAAAAAAAAAAAAAAAAAAACTCATTACCTATTAAAATGACCAGAACAATTACAAAAAGGCATGCCCATTACAAAATAAAATTACATAGGTAAATGAGTTTAGGTTACTGGAGAAGCAACAAGACCATAAAAGAAGACAGGATATATAGTAAAATGCAATGTGTCAGCTACTTACCCAGATTAACAAAAAATGGCACAGAAATAAATTTCAAAATGATATTAATAATGATTATACAACAAGACCTTACTGCAGACACACACTAACTCAAACAAATTTCAACTTACAATTTTCTTTACAAAAGATCAATCAAGTATATAAGGGGTCCTTAGAGCATGAAACAAAAAAATTAAAAAAGTTATAGCTCTACCTTGAGAGTAGGGATTTCTCTGGCAAGCTCCTGAAGTGCTAATGTCAGGGGAGGAGATAAGCCAGTAGCCATCATGGGCTCCAGGAGTTCCTTAACATCACTCCGTACTGCTCCTTCCACTCCTCGTGCCACCAAGCTAACACAAACAAACACTGCTGGTTCTACCACTCGCTTCTTACTCGGTGTAAACCCTTTAAAACACAAATGAGATCAGATAAGTGTTACCTTATCTTAAAGTAATGAGAATTAAAAGGAAAAACTGATTAACTGCACTTTACAGTTGTGCATCTGAAACAGAGGACAACTTACAAAAAACTTTCCTGGGAATCACTTACATCTTTCTACTAATATTTTTGACACCTCATACTCCTAAGAAACTTCTGTTGTTGCTACATCAGAAACATACCTGGCTTCGTACCTTCTCACATAAAGCAATTGATTTTAGCACTACAAGTGATCTTTTCCACTCTTACTACCAGTGATGGCTCTGCGTTCTCCTCGCTTCCAAAGTGAGGTTCCGGTTCAATTTCCAGTGAAGGTGTGGAAACATTGGACGTGTTTTCTTACACCGGTTATCTATGTTCACCCATCAGTAAAATGGGTACCTGGGTGTTAGTCGACTGGTGTAGGTCGCATCCTGGGACAAAAACTGACCTAATCTGCCCGAAATGTTTTGCATAACAAGTGGCTTTCTCTATAGTAGTACATATGTCACTGATGTCAGCTAGGCTTGTATACCTTGAACATGTACTTGTAGTAAATAAAGATATTATTATTCTTATATTTTTATTATTAAAATAGGTGTCAAACATTTGTTAAAGCTAATTAGCATTCAATTGGTCCAGGATATCATAGCCCAAATTGCCCTCCCAGCATCAAGTGCTCACATTCACTTGATGCTCTCAAGCAGAGCTCACATGCCAACTTGATAGTTGGCCTTTGCTTTAGCAAATGAGTTGTTCACAAAAGTTTCAGCCAAACAACCAGTACACAAGTAGTATATGGGAGTGTGGTCTATAGCATTACAGAACAATCTTACTGCTACTGGATTGTTCAGGGTTCATCTCTCAGTCTGTCATAGTTATCCTGTAGTGAAACAGTTCCTTATCTGAGTCAGCCATCACAAACCTTTATCCCGATAACAGTAAGATCAACATGTTTGTTTCTCAGTTTGAACATGCAATATAAATAAACAAGGCTCATGTCAGAGATGCCTTCACAGGAGTTAAGAAGGCATCTCATACCAGATATGCATTCTTATCCCTAAAATATAAAGAAAAAGCAGAGAATGTAGGTTAGTTTTTTGAGGTTCTGTGCTAAACTTAAGCAGAAGAGCTAAGACAACCCAGGTCAGCTGGTGTATAATGACAATTCTTGTACTGATATATCATTTGCTGATGACTTTAAACTTAGAAGTACATATGTCAGAATCTTTGGTCACAGGTGACAGTTTCACCTGCAAATTTTTCCCCAAGTGCTGTATTGCACTGTATTACAGTAATTATCAAAGTTTTAATTATTCTGAATTGATCATTAGTTGTTAGGATGCAATACATTCTAGGTATTGAATATTTGTGCTTTTTTCCTGGTTCTAAGTGGTATATAACTTTTTATGTCGAGCAAAAGTGCTTTTTTTTTTTTCTAGGTAAGACAACTAGTATTGCTTATTTACCCTATGAGTTTTTGGTCGTACTAGTACGTCTTACGCCGTAGGGGTTTTGACGTACTAGTACGCATAAATTCTAGCGCCGCCTATCAAATCTCGCAGGAAAAAGGCTTATAAGCCTAGAGGTGAGAGAATGGGTCTGTGGATGGGTGTGCGCAGTAGAAAAAAATCTGGGACCCAGTGGTTTGTGCATTGTTGGGAATGCCATCATAGTACAGACAATTTCCACGTGAGCCCTGCGGTAAGAAGTTCCTCACTCCTCGGCGAATTGGTAACAGTTCTTTTTGTTTCCCCATGACAGTTTTCTAATACAGATGGAAGTGACAGGAAGAAGATTTTAAGGTTCTGGTGAGGTTTTGACCGAAAACTAATGACCATAATATGGGTAAAAAAGTGAGGAAACCCCAACAACCCCACCGCCCTTCCACTCTGGTGCCGGGCCGTCGTTCCGTGTACCAGAATCAAAGAGGAAACTACTCCTATTTTCCAAATCCCCAGTCTCAGATGTGAGCACTGGTGAGATAATGAAGTGAGTATGAACTACAAGCTCTCTTTCAAACTTGTTCCGCAAGAATGGAGCAGGAGGAGAGGCAGCGTAGGAGGAGGCAGGAGGAGAGGGCAAAGAGGAGTAGAGGCAAGAGGAGAGGAGGCGAGTAGGAGGAGAGGCAGAGGAGGAGGAGGAGGAGGAGGAAGAAGAAGAAAGGATAAGAAGATGATGAGGGAAGTAGGAGGAGAAGAGGAGGAGAGAAGAGAGGAGAGGAGGAGGAGGAAGAAGAAGAATACGTAATGATAACAATAAAACCTAATAATAATAATACATAATAATAATACTACATAATAAATAATAATTACATAAAAAATAAAATAGGTAATAATAATAATAAGTAATAAATAAATTTCACCCATGACAGTAACAAGATAAGGGGAGATAACATCTGATAAGTGCGGACTTTTGAGAGGGTAAATGTGAGGGTAGAGGCTGACGCCAAAATATGAGATGAACAATCCCCCTCCCTTGTTTTGCTGGTATACTACCATTTCAGTTCTGTCTATTTGCCTGTCTGTCAAGCTCCCGTCATCCTTCCTAGCTCGCTCTGTCTCAGAGAGCCACAAGACTGTGGCGTCATCACTTTACTCACATCTTCAAGCAGAGTAAGCACTTTGTCCTGGGTTTCTTTGGGTTATCCTAGTAATTGTATAACTATGTATATCTTGTATTATGTGTACCTGTGAGACAGAGATAGACAGACAAGATAGAATGAGGGAAGAAAATAATTAGATAGAATGGAGGAGGGGAAGCAGCATCCGTCCCCATGTTATTGACAGGCCAGAGGGGTAAAGAGTAATGAGCCAATATGTCTACTTTACATCGCCGCTCCTGTAATTTACATATGGACGAGGAGGAGAAGGAGAAGGATGAGAGGAATAAGAGGAAGAGAGGAGGAAGAGGAATAGTAGAAGAAGATTGGGGGAAGAGGAGGAAGAGGAAAGGTAGAGAGGAGAGAGGAATGAGGAAGAAGAAGGAGTAGAGGCAAGAGTAGGAGGAAGAGGAAGAAGAGGGAGGAAGAGGAAGAAGATGAAGGAGGACGGAATAGGAGGAGGAGGTGAATAGAAGAGTATGAGGAAGAGGAAGCGGAGGAAGAGGAAGAGTAATGAAGGAATAGTAGGGGGAAGAGGAGAAGAGGAAGAAGAGGAGGAGGAGGGTGGAAACTAGTACACTGTACTGGTACACTAACATTTCTGTCTGTCTATTTGTCTGTCTGTCAAGCTCCCTGGCTATCTGTCTATCCGTCCTAGCTCTCTGTCCCCCCACAGAGAGCCACAAAGCTGTGTCATCACTTTTACTCACATCTTCAAGCAGAGTATTAGCACTTTTGTCTTGTATTTACTTGGTTATCCTAGGTAAATTTATTACTATGTATACTTTTATTTATTTGTACCTTTGAGACAGAGATAAGACAGACAGAAAGAAAGAGAGAGACAGATTGAAAGAGATAGAATGTAGGAGAGAAAGATAAAACCCCATTTGTATGACACCATGAATCAGAGTTCCACAAGCTGCAGAACTAAAAGAATATGTTTCAGTGACTGTATATTGGAATAATATATTTATAAGAACAATAATAATAAACAATGTTTTTGTATTGTTTGTTTTTTTGTAAACAAGTTTTGTAACAATATAATTGATAATTATGTTTGTGTGCTTATTGTGTTGTATACAACGAGTGTATATATTACATTGCACTTACTTTGTCTCAAAGGCCACAATATGTTATGTGAAAAAATAAAATAGTGAAAAAAAACCAACAAACCCTCAATACAAGTAAATCAAAGTATTAACCGGGTGAGCGGCAGTCGCCGCTGATTGCCAAACGCGGCTACATTTTTCTCTGCAAACTTCATGCATCCATATCTCCGTAAGTATTGATGGTAAAATTTTTTTGTTTATCCTATAATGTTCAGAAAAAAAAACTCTATTTTTTCATAAGAAAAAATAATTTTTTTTTTTTTGAAATTTGGCCGACCCTGAGAACGAGTTTCGGAGAGGGCCTGTCGACCCTCAAAGGGTTAAGAGCTCTAAGGCTTCCTGAGATTTAAGAAAGATTATTGGCAATCCTTTGCTTTTCAAGATATCTATGCCAAAAGCCAGCCTACTGGTTCCAAATACATTATCCAAAATTTCTTCCAAGTTTGTGGGAATGTGCCAAACTCTGACATTAGCTGAAACTTGTAATATTAGTTTCACAAAAATATTAAACATAAGAAGTGGTGAATGTAACTTTAACGTCTACTTCAAAATTTTAGATAATGTCTAAATGCTACTCTGAATCAAGGGTATACCAGTACTATTTAAAAATATAAATTTATGAAAAAGCACTGAACTCAGTAGGTCACAGAACAATTGAGATTTTGATAAATAATGAAAGAGAATCCATAGTGCATTTGAAAGACAGTAGATCACCAATGACTCCACCACCATATAAAAGAGACCAAACTATGAAATTATATCTTTTCCATCACATAAAACTAACCTTAGTGGGAAGTGAGGCTTTTATAACTTCCATGATTTTTGGCAAATACTTCTTAATAGAAGAGCCAACTGCCACCGCCAAGAGACCGAGAGTAACGAAGGCAGTGGGACGTTCTTTGTCTCTTCCTCTTAAGCATCCTAGCAGGTAGCTCATTGTTTTGCCTGAGAGATAACTGTAGAACGTGGAAAATTTAATGAATTAAACATGCAATCCTTGAAGCCCCAACATCAAGGTACTAAACATATTTTACTGTCAAAAGTATAGTACCCAACAACATTTTAATAATGGAAGTAATATAAAGGAGAATGCCTATAATAATGAATTGTATGACATTCAATTAACCTACAGTAACACTTAATGCATTTTAATGTTATCCAGAATTACAGCAAATTAAACGTAACAGAAATTCCAGGGAATGAGTATTATATGTTTTAGATTTAATGGGTACATGCAAAAATATCACATTTCAAACTATTTCAAATATTTTATAAAATTAAAACAAGTTGCAAAAATTTTGCAAGATAAACTTCTATAATCTTCTCTTTTAAACAACTCTTGACAAATTTTTTATCTGAATTGCACAATTCATACAAGTCTGGATTTTATTAAATAATCTCAAAGAAGTCAAGGAAGTACAGTGGACCCCCGCATAACGATATTATTTCAATCCAGAAGTCTGTTTAGGTGCCGTTATAGACCGAATTTGTTCCCATAAGAGATATTGTGAAGTAGATTAGTCCGTTTCAGACCCCCAAAAATACACCTACAAAAGCACTTACAAAAATACACTTACATAATTGGTCGCGTTGGGAGCTGACCATTATGCGGGGGTCCACTGTACTAGGAAACCCAAAAAAAGTCAAATAATATCACATCTTTCTAAAGCAAAACATGAGAGAATATAAAGAATGTATAAGGCAAGCAAGACTTCATCAGTACAGAGCAGAGGTGAAACAAATATATAAAGCTCTCCTATTAATAAATCTGAAAATTTCTGTCATATAACATCTACATAAAGTCTTAATTATATAAATGTCAGAGAACAGATTTCATTCAATAAACTGACTAATATAATAGTATCTAAGAGTATAACAGGACAGATAAAATAAGTAAGAAGGATACATACTAAATCCAAACACCAAAAAGATCTTCAACCAAGAATTTTTGGATTAGCTAGGCAAGAATATCAAATATAAAAAAAAAAAATTGGAAAGGAACTGGAAAACTCTGAGGTTAAATGCAATACCACATGAATTTATTTTTTTCCTTAAACTCAAATCAGAGCCTACACTTTGAAAGCCACCACAGTCTATAAGTAATAAAGAAGCTACAAAGTATCAAAAATTCATGATGACTGTCTAACAACATGGCATTTCCAAAGCCTTAACTGTGAATCCACAAGAGATTCTACTAAAGAAACTATATACAAATTCATGGGGATTGATATACCATAAAATGTAAACTGTGCTCCCAAGCATTGGTGCATTACATGCTGTGTAAATACTATTGCTCATGCTATCAATGTGACTACCATATAATGTATAAGGATCACTTTCAACAATTCCAATTTAACAGACAGTAGTGTGATTGGGACAATTCTAAACTTTAGTGAAAAAAGTGATACAGATTCATCAAATAACCGTTGCCTAAAAGTAAACTATTAATTTCTCGTAATGACTTCAACCAAAAGTTACTCAGTTTTTAATGACAAACTACAACATACTGTCCTAATTAATAAGGCCAACAGTCTGAGCTATATTAATAAGTGTGTACTGGGCTTTCGAGCTTCTCCAACTGCAGGCCATATTAACCCCTGGTAGACTACTTGTCCAAGTTCATTACTACTTCCTTCCATCAACATTCTCCTCTTGTTCTCATTCCTAAGAGGAGGGAGGAAGTGAGGAGGGAGGAGGTAGGAGGATGAGGAGGAGGGAGGAGGGAGGAAGGGAGGAGGAGAGGAGGGAGGAGGGAGGAGGGAGGAGGGAGGAGGGAGGAGGGAGGAGGGAGGGGGGAGGGGTGGGGGAGGGAGGGAGGAGGGGGGGAAGGGAGGAGGAGGAGGGAGGAAGGTTAGGGAGGAGGAGGAAAGGGGGGAGGGGTGAAGGGGAGGGAGGATGGGAGAGGGAGGAGGAGGAAAGGGAGGAGGAGGAGGAGATGAAGGAGGCGTGAGGATGCTGGTGAGGGCTTGTTGTGCGGTAGGCTGCGTCTTCTGTCTTCGTTCCGTCGGCGGCGTGCTGTAGTGCTGTCTGCTCTTCTTCTGTCTTCTTTCTTCTTCTGCTGCTTCCATTCTTCTTGCTTTCTTCTTTCTTGCTTCTTCCTTCTTGTATGTCTTCTTCTCCAGCTACTGTCGGTCTTCGTCGTCTGTCTGCGTCTCTTCTGTATGGCGTCTTGCTTCTTCTTCCTCCTCCCTCCTCCTCCTCCTCCTCACCCTCCTCTTTCCCTTCCCCCACACACCAACCAACCATCACTCATACCACCCCATCCCAACCCGACCACCACCCCATCGCCAACCTCAAAATCCATCCCAAAGCCCACCAGACCATAAAAACCCTTCCCAGCTGAACCACCACCTACACCCCTTAAAGACCAAAAAAGCACCCAAGAGACTTACACTGATAGATATATCTCAGACCCCCACACATACCAAACAGTACGACCAACATTCCGATAAATACCTTACACATAATCCAGAACAATACTCAATCCAGCTAAATAAATTTAATTAAAAGTCAGCAAAGGGTACATCCAATGTTGGCTCCCACAGATGTACTATGATGGAGAATACAATACAACACAGGATAAAATTGGAAAAACCTTTTTTAAAAATAGGAAAAATATCCTTTTATCAGAATGTAGTAAATGGCATATAGGAAGACATACTGTACACACATTCAGAAGATACATGCAACCACCCCCAAATCTAGAGATGTAAGGTTGCACCATAAAAGAGCAACTAATACATATCTAACTCCACATAGATTCACAGCCATGTACCGGATCTACCTTGGCCCTGGGGACTTGGCAACCAGACAGACAACAGTACACTTAAGCAACAACTACACACTGAAACAAAGGAAAAATTAGGCATGAAGGAAGAATGAGAAGGTAGGACTTGTCATTAGAAAAACAATGAAATAGAGGAGATGTAACCATGACATACAAAATAATTCAAGGCACAGACAAAATAGACAAGGATAGGTTCTTTACCAGGGAGGTAAGAACTGGGTGTAATTAGAAATTATACATCCAAGAGAGACAGTGGAATATCAGAAAAACCATTTCTTCAACATAAATTTAGTGTGGTAACTTTTAATGAAGTGGAATTTAATTTGCAATGAAATAGTGGAAGTGAACTACATAAAAGGTTTTGAAAATGAGATCTGATAGGGAACTATTTCACATCAACTGTTCTAAATTTAAAAGGTTGGACCAAGAGCTGCAGCTCACTTTCTCCCCTTTACCAATTCAAACAGATATCCACACAGAATTCTTATCATTATTTTATAAGTGCCATATGAAAAGAAAAATAAATTTATACATGTGTCTTAACTGTCTTATAGCAAGTATCCCCTACCCAAAACAATGCACAAACATGGGCATCACACATATCATACCACTATTGAAATTACCAGAATATGTAACCACAGATTATATATATAATGCATTAATTGTTTTGAAAAAGAGAAGTTGTAATCTTCAATTATTTTAACACACTGGCCATCACCCACCAAGGTAGATGACCCCCCCCCCCAAATAAAAAGAGAGGAATACATTCACGCTCATTTCATTCAATTGCTTCTTCCCTGAGGTGAGATGACATCACATTTCCAGATGACCCACTGATCGACAAACATCCTCACCTCTCCTTTAGAGTGAAAAATAATTGAGAAGTTGGAGGAAGAAAAACAAGAAGAAAATAAATAAATTCAGGATGCCTACTTAGCCCTCAAAACCTCCTTCACCAGCTCCCTCCAACCCTTCTTTGGTCGATCCATACCTCTCCTTCCTTCCTTCCACCTCAAATTTTTATACAGTACTTTATTAATATCTTAAGTCTTCCTAGTTTGGTAATCCCCGGGGGGGGGGGGGGGGGGGGGGGTGGGGGGGGGGGGGGGGGGGGGACAATCCTTCTTTGTAATCTCCACGATCTGAATTATCTGCATAATATTCATGCCACACACTGACCTCAAGCATGACATCTCTACTGTCTCTAGCCTCCTACTCTATGATTATAAGAATTATATACAACACCACACATTTTCTTGTCTAGTACAGGTTCACTAATATTATAAATACAGTAGGGCCTCACTTACAATATTAAGTGTTCCTGAGAAATGTTTCTTACTTGTGTATTAGTAACTCAACCTAATTTCCCACATACCCATGTTATAACTGGAGATGTTCCTGAGTTAATACCCATGTTGTAACTGGAGATGTTCCTGAGTTATAATATTCCATATCTAATTTCATTTAGTTTTTAGCAATGAAATGAAACAATGTACAATACTCAGATGAGCCTCCCCTTTCCTCCTCTTCCCTTCTCTCCCTCTTTCTCTTATTCAATCACCTCCCTCCCACTCACCCATTCCTTCTCTCATTGTATCTGACAACACAGTGTGGGTGCTTCCAACAGAACTGCCTTCCCTACTCCTTATCCATCCTTCTCTCCCACTTCTTCCTTCCCTCCTTTCCCTTTCAGATTCCTTCCCTCTCCCTGGTTTACCTACAGATTGTTTCAGTGTCCATTGCCTTCCCACCACCCATTCCCAGCCCAAGACTCCCAGTTGATGGCCTGATCAACCAGGTTGGTGGTGCTAGTTTCATGCAGACCAGCATATGCACCATGACCCAGCTCATCAGGAACTAACTTGAGGAACTTATCAATTTCCCTCTTGAAGACAGCCAGGTGTATGTTGGCAATTCTACTTATGCATGAAGGGTAATTATTGAAGAGGCTTGGTACCTTTACACTTACCGAGTTATCAGTGTACTAATCATGCCCCTGCTTTTCACTGGAGGTGCTGTCTGCCGAGCCTTTCCAGAATTTTTGTGTAAATTATGATGTATCTATCTCGCCTACACTCCAAGGAATGTAGGTTGAGCAACTCAAAGTATTTATAGTGGTTCAGATGCTTTACTAAATCTTCACAAGCAGTGCTGTTAAGATTTGAGATGTGCCAAAGTATTGGTATCAGTATCAGTGGGTATCTGATATTTATATGGCATCAGTATCACTGAAAAAGTTGCCGATACCAACCGATACTCTTAAAATATTAATATTACAAGTACTTAAAAACTGAATACCCACTATAAGAATAACTTCAATGCCAATGCAGCAGATGAGTCATGTAAAACAAATCTTGACAATACTGAGAATCATCTGAAAGAAACTGAGGAGAGAATTTCATAGCTCAAGAACTCAAGAGAGTACAGATGCTTGCAAGCTACCATCAAGCAGGCAACATAGTCGCAGATAGAAAGAAAGTCAAGAGAGATGACCATGGGCTTGAAGGGACCTGACAAGGTTGATATTAAGCAAAGTTAGAAAAATTTGTAGCAGCATTTTCCAACAACAGCATGTCACAGATAATCTACCTTTGAATTCTTTTCCTCCATAACACAAAAAAATAAAAAAAAAAAACAGTCCCTAAAACAAATGTGCTAGTATTCACATTACCACACAATAAAAAAATAAATAGACAAATACATGGCAATGGCATTATTGCCAAAAGAGGGAAATCCACTAAGTGGCAGAATGAAAAGTGAAAGATTTTCCATCTATGGTAAACCTAGCCATAGGTATCTGAAATTCACCGCCCTCATTGTTCAATACATGAAAGAGTGTTTTTTTCCGCATCTTCAGGGCACATCTACTCTCTTCACTGGAACAGATTAACTTGTCAAAAATAGGAAGATGCTGATGTTCTTTCAGCTCAATTTGAAATTTTTTAATTTAGCTATTAGAGTAACAATACATCATGTACATGACACTGACATTTTGTTGGCTGTCTGGATCTGCCAAGTTTAGCATGGGTTCCACCTGACCAAATTAAGGATTTTTTTTAATCCATGTTTCTATTGCATTATTTAGTTTTACCTACAGTTTAAGTAGGAAGGTAGATGGGAAAAGAGGAAGGTGGCAACAACAAGTAAGAGGGAGTGACAGTGAAAAACTAAGGAGGAGGAAGTTCGGGCGATATATAAGCGACTATTGGCAGAAAGGTGGATAGTGCAAAGATGATAATGGGGGGTTGAAGAGGGTTGGAATAGTTTTAAAAAAGCAGTATTAGAATGGGGGCAGAAGTTTTGATGGTTTATAGGAGGGTGGGTGCAGGAGTAAAGAGTAGTGATTGGAGGAAAGATGAAGTAAAGGTGTGATAAAAGAGAAAAAGGAAAGCTTATGAAGGTTTTTTACAAAGCAGGAATTGTTATTAAGAAGAGCAGAATATATGGAGAGTAAAAGAAAGGTAAAGAGATTGGTGAGAGAGTGCAAAAGGAAGCAGATGATAGAGTGTGAGAGGCAACTGTCAAGAAATTTTTAATGAAACTAAGAAAAATTTTTGGAGTGCGTTAAACAAGATTAAGAAGCCAATGGAAAATATTGGAATTGTCAGTTAAAAAAACAGAGTAGGGGAGTTAGTAGTGAGAGATGGAGGTATTAGGTAGAATGGCGAGAATATTTTGAGGAACTTTTTAAACTGTTAAGGAAGAAATCAGAGGGCAGTAATTTCATGCACTGGTCAGGGAGGTAACCATCTTTTAGAGTGAAGAAGAAGCAAGAATGTAAGTGTGGGGTGAGGATACGTGAGGCATTACGTAAAAGAAAGGGTAAAGCAGCTGGACAGATGGGGGATCATGACAGAACATGTTAAAAGCACGGGGTGGATATAGTGTTGAGTGGTTTGGTACTTTGTCAATGAATGTATGAAAAAAAAGAAGGGAAGGTACCTAGGGATTGGCGGCGTATACATGTAATAGTCCCTTTATATATAAAGGAAAGGGGACAAAAGAACGAAAAATTATAGAGGAATAAGCTTACTGAGTATACCAGGAAAAAAGTGTACGGTAGGAGTTATGAAGTGAAAGAATTAGAGTAAGACAGAATGTAGATTGTGCGATGAGCAAGGAGGTTTTCATAGTGGTAGGGGATGTGTAGATCAGTGTTTACATTGAGCATATATGTTAACAGTAAATTTTAGAAAAGGTAGGGTAGTTTTTATTGCATTTATGGATTTAGAAAAAGGCATATATAGAGTGGATAGAGGAGGCAATGTGGCAGATGTTGCAGTATATGGAATAGGGGTAAGTTTATTAAATGCTGTAAAGAGTTTTATTTGAAGATAGTGAGGCTCAGGTTAGGGTGTGTAGAAGAGAGGGAGAACTATTTCCCGGTAAAAGTAGGTCTTAGACAGGGATGTGTACTGTCACCATGGTTTTTTAATATATTTTATAGATGGGTTGTTAAGGAAGTAAATGCTAGGGGTGTTTGGAGAGGGGTGGGATTAAATTATGGGGAATCAAATTCAAAATGAGGAAATGACACGGGGAAGTTACTTTTTGCTGATGATACTTGTGCTTATGGGAGATTCTAAGAATAAATTGCAAAGGTTTATTTGATGAGTTGGAATGTGTGTAAAGGTAAAAGTTGAAAGTGACATATAAAAGAGTAAGGTGATAGGTGTCAAATGAATTAGAATAAAGAAAAATTGGATTTCAAATTGGGAGGAGGAGTATGAAGAAGTGAGATGTTTTCATATACCTTAGGGAGTTGACGTGTCGGCGTGGATTTTGAAAGGATGAGGTTTAATCATAGAATTGATGAGGAAAAAAGGTAGTGGTGCTTGAGGATATGTGGAGACAAAAAACATTATCTATGGAGGCAAAGAAGGAAAGTATGAAAGTATTAGTAATACCAACACTCTTATATGGGTGTGAATCTTTGGTGGTAAAGGTGCAGCAGCGATGAGACTAGTGGAGCAGTGGAGAGTCCTGTTTAAGGGCACTGTGTGGTGTAAATATTATGCAAGAAAATTCGGAGTGTGGAAATTATGAGAAGTGTGGAGTTAATAACGTATTAGTCCAGAAGGCAGAAGAGTGGTTGTTGAGGTGTTTGGTCATTTAGAGAGAATGATCAAAGTAGCATGACTGGAAAGCAAATAAAATTCTAAGGTAATGGAAGGCGCGGGTAGGGGTCGTCCACGAAAGGGTTGGAGAGAGGGGGGTAAAGGAGGTATTGTGGGGTAAGGGGCTTGACTTCCAGCAAGCGTGCGTGACGTGTAATGATAGGAGTGAATGGAGACGATGGAACTTGGGACTGACGATCTGTTTGGAGTGTGAGCAGGGTAATATTTAGTGAAGGGATTCAGGGAACCGGTTATTTTCATATATCGGACTTGAGTCCTGGAAATGGAATACAATGCCTGCACTTTAAAGAGGGATTAATGATATAGGCAGTTTGGAGATATGTTGAGAAACTTATATGTGTATGCTTCTAGACTGTTGTATACTGAGCACCTCAGCAAAAAACAGTGATAAATGTCCGAGTGTGGTGAAAGTTTGAATGATGATGAAAGGTATTTTCTTCTTTTGGGGATTTCTTACTTTTTTTTTGGGTCACCCTGCCTCGGTGGTAGACGGCCTGACTTGTTGAAAAAAAAAAAAAAAACAAGAAAAAGTTTCATATTCTCAAAGGGAACTTCTACTACCTTCCAATAACCGTGCAGTATTTGGCACTGAACATAATCTTTCCAGAAACTGGTAAGCAGGGTTCAATACATCATAAACTTGTGAGGCCCACAAAACCCTTGACAACAGTAATTTCCACACCATTTATTACAATACAACTGTACAACATTTTCCTTGGTTATTACTTCTCAAACTGCTTACTTCGATAATATATATTTGTTTGGTATAAGTTGTGTTAAAATATCTAATGTTTGCTGTAATTTGGTAATGAAATGTGGCTTATTTTCACCAAAAGCTGATGGGAGGTGAAGGTGGTGAGGAGAACAGTGGCAGTAGCTGACACTTCCCTGTCAACATATTAATAATACTGAATTTTAAGTAAAAGGACACAAGAGCAACTAAAGTGACATTTTATTGTGGCAGACATTTCGCTTATCCAGAAGCTTTCTCAAGCCGAAACGTGGCCACAATAAAAACGACTCATCGTATGCACTTATATCCTTGTACAGTACATATTGTTGGAATTTAACCAACAATATTACACATAATTATACTGTCTGGTATGGTACATGGCCACATTAATTAACCTTCTCCACACATTTCCAGCTCACTAAAGAATACAACTTCCATGTAAGTATAAAAAACTTTAATATTTTTTCATGCATAAAAAAATTTAAGAAACTTTGTTAAAACCTCCATTTATACTCTGATGAACGACAAAATGTCCTAACCAATTTAGAACACTAAGGAGGAAAGAGGATGAGAAGGTTAAAAAAAAACAAAAAAGACACACATCTCATTTTGTGAGGATGTCACTTATAAAACCTGGAAAATGTTAACTAGAACAACCTTCAGAAATAACTTGACACCTTCTGGGCTATTCATATTCAGCTGGTTTGAACTGTATCTTAGCTAATACATAGATTTTTAGGAAAAATGAAAACCCCATATAACCTTTAGAAGTGAAGACACATTCTGAGGCATTCATCTTTTTTTAACTGTTCTTAGTTAAACCTGGATTTTATGTCCTGTATGTACTTTTACTCAAAGTATCTCAACATGTTAGCCCTGATGATGCAGAGAATAGAACAACCCAGCAAGTGTTTGACTGCAAGCAGAAATAAGAATTTACTCTCCTCTATTAATTAGGCCCAAGCTCCCATGGTCCCTCACAAGGGGAAAATGGAACAAATCTTCCTCTGTAAGCTATGCGAGTCGTTAAGAGGCGACTAGCAATGCCGGGAGCAAGGGGCTAGTAATCCCGTGTCCTGTATTAATTAACTAAATTTAAAAAGAAAAACTTTTCTTTTTCTTTTTGGGCCACCTGCCTCGGTGTGGATAACGGCCGGGTTGTTTGATAGAAAGAACTCCCATGGTGATAAACAATTTAAATATAAACGGTAAGTTGGGAATTAAGGTACTGGAGATGGGAAGCAACAATGCCATGCATTCTGATAGGAGGGGTGCAGAAGCAGCAGTGTGGAAGTTCATTTGAATTCTGTTACAGTGTGGGAAAGGACAAATTGATGTGATGTCCTGCGCACTTCTACAAGACAGCAAATAAATGAATGATTCTGAGTGTATTTTCTTTTTTTGGATCACCCTACCTTGGTGGGAGACAGCCAACGTTAAAAAAAATATACTGCATATACTGAATAAACATTATCATAAATATTCTCATAGGATATAAAAACAGCACTGTATTGACAACAGATAAGAAAAAAATAATTACTCCTATCAGCAATGATTTGTAAATAAAACCTCTCAGTCTTATACCTGACATTATGCAAAAATCTGATTTGAGGACAAGTATATCTCCCTTCTTCCTCAGTTTTATGGCTAAGGATCCTATGGTGTTGTTGAGGTGGTCTGGACATGTAGAGAAAATGGAACAAAATGGAATGACTTTTATTCCATAAATCTGAGAGGAGGGAAGGCGGAGTAGAGGTCGGCCTAGGAAAGGTTGGAGAGGGGGTAAGAGAGGTTTAGTGTAGCAAGGGGCTGACTACCCAGCAAGCATGCATGACAGTTAGAAAGGAGCAAATGGATACAATGGTATTTAGGATTTGACGAGGCTTGTTTGGAGTGTGAGCAGGTAATATTTATGAAGGGATTCAAGGAAACCGGTAGGCCGGACTTGAGTTCTGGAGATGGGAAGTACAGTGCCTGCACTCTGAAGGAGGACTATTAATGTTGCAGTTTTATAACTGTAGTGTAAACACGCCTCTGGCAAGACAGTGATGAAGTGAATGATGGTGCGAGTTTCTCTTTTTCAGGCCACCCTACCTTGGTGGGAAATGGCCGATGTGTTAATAAAAAAAAAACCCAGACCAGCACTGTCTCACTCCCTCCCCCCAAAAAAATCAATCATTCATTCAACTGCTGTAGTGCTAGAAATGCATTGCAATCACAGTTCATATAACCCTCCAAATTGTAACATTCTCACCCCTGCTTAGAGTAAAGTGCAGCTTTTATCTACTGCACTCTATATTTAAATTTAAACAGCTTCAACATTAAAGCTATGTTTCTGTTTAAATGTTCTAAAACAAACAAAAAAAAAAAAAAAACTCATTACCTATTAAAATGACCAGAACAATTACAAAAAGGCATGCCCATTACAAAATAAAATTACATAGGTAAATGAGTTTAGGTTACTGGAGAAGCAACAAGACCATAAAAGAAGACAGGATATATAGAAAAATGCAATGTGTCAGCTACTTTCCCAGATTAAAAAAAATGGCACGAAATAAATTTCAAAATGATATTAATAATGATTATACAACAAGACCTTACTGCAGACACACACTAACTCAAACAAATTTCAACTTACAATTTTCTTTACAAAAGATCAATCAAGTATATAAGGGGTCCTTAGAGCATGAAACAAAAAAATTAAAAAAGTTATAGCTCTACCTTGAGAGTAGGGATTTCTCTGGCAAGCTCCTGAAGTGCTAATGTCAGGGGAGGAGATAAGCCAGTAGCCATCATGGGCTCCAGGAGTTCCTTAACATCACTCCGTACTGCTCCTTCCACTCCTCGTGCCACCAAGCTAACACAAACAAACACTGCTGGTTCTACCACTCGCTTCTTACTCGGTGTATCCTTTAACAAAAATGAGATCAGAGTAGTGTTACATTTATCTTAAAGGAATGAGAATTAAAAGGAAAAACTGATTAACTGCACTTTACAGTTGTGCATCTGAAACAGAGGACAACTTTACAAAAAACTTTCCTGGGCATCACTTACTCTTTCTACAAATATTTTTTGATCACCTACAAACTCCTAATAAACTTCGTTGTTGCTACACATAAACATACCTGGCTTCGTACCTTCTCACATAAAGCAATTGATTTTAGCACAACAAGTGATCTTTCCACTCTTACTACCAGTGATGGCTCTGCGTTCTCCTCGCTTAAAAAAAGGGGTCACAATTGGAGGTGAAGATCAATGATAAAAGAGATCAAGTATTTTTAGTCTAGAGTGTCGGGAAGGGAAATAGTCTCCATGTGAGTAGGGCAGGAACCTACATAGTGTTAAGACAAGGTATGAAAAAGCTCGGGGAGCAGGGAGAGAAGGGCCTAGTAGTGATCAGTGAGAGGCAGGGCCAGGAGCTAAGTCTCAACCCTGCAAACCACAATAGGTGAGTACACACATGCACGCACACGCGCGCACGTGTGCACGTGCGTAACACACACACACACCACACACACACACACACACACACACACAGAGGCATAACTGGAGTGGATAAAAATGCAAAACATTTACAATAATGTAGCTCCAATATACATTATATATCAATAAGAAAGAATGCAGCAGAAGACATGAAAAATGTAAGTATAATTACAGTTGACCGTCGGTTAACATGGTAATTACGTTCCCAGAAACAATGTGTGATAAAAAAGTCTTGTAAAATGAACTGAAGAACATGGGGTAAAAATAAAGTTACATTCCATAGACCTCCAAAAGAGCCAGCCCAATTTTTTTTTAGGTCTTGAAATTGTAAAAACACAATAATAATGTAACTAAGTCGATGTTATAGTTAATACGATACTTACAGCTACAAAGGTTACTTAATATTTCTTAGCACAAATTCTAGTCGTTGATGTATGCTTATAATTTTAAGAGTGGAAAAGGATGGTGTAGCCCTATTGGGCTCATGTGGGAGGTTGTAGATCGATAACAGCTGGAGACTGAGGTTTTTACACTGATGTCGATGATTGTGCTGACTTGACCTGATCCTTTCTTCTCCTCCTTTCCTATTTTTTTCCTTTTTTTCTTATTTCCTTTCTTTGGCATACTGTGTTCTGTTTGTCAATTTCCCCCCCTCCCTGTGTTTTGGTCCTGGATTTGGTTTTGGGCTCTTAGCTCTCCTGCAGTGCTCCTTTTTCTTGTCCTTAGACTTACCCAACTTCTACTTCTACTTAGTCTCCCCCCCCCCATTTCCTCTACTATTGCTTTCACTTTACTTTTTCCTCCCTTCATCCTTCACTCCCCTCTTTTCTCTCTTTGCCACTAAACTACTCTCCCTACTTTCTACTATCACTATTTCTTCTACAATTACTTCCACTACCTACCTTCAATTACCAATACTTCCTCTTCTCCCTCTCTTGCTCCCATCCTTTTTCCCGCTCGCCTATATATACACTGGCTTCCTCACTATTTTCTGCTAGAGTGACTTTGTAAATGGTCGGAGCTGGACCAAAACTTTGGCGTAAGCTCCTCTTTCCTGTGTGCAGGTCATATGTGTATACATACATAAGTCTTCTGCATAAAACAATTGACTCTTCCATAGGCTAACTGTGAGAGGGAGAGAAGAACCCAATGCATGTCACAGTTCACCCAATACGTACCCTGCTATCAAAACTCATTGACATGGTCTGTTAACACAAAAGTTTTAAAATCATGTGTTAACCAACGGTCTACTGTACTACTCTGAAACACTGGAATTTTAGCTATCAAATATAATAAATAATACACAGTGAACTGCCATTTTTCTCACATTATCTGAAACATATAACCTAATAAACAAAAAATAACATATATATTTTCAACAAGTGTTAATCAGATCTAAAAACACAAGAAAACTTACTTAAATAATCAAAGATTTTATAGAAGACTGCATATATGGTAACTGGTCCACACAAGACAAAATTTACAAAATACATTTTATCATGCATAAATGTATAAAATATATGTATAGTACAGTACATAATAAAATTAATTCATAGATGTTTCATACCAAGGCAGGGTGACCCGCTGAAGAAGAAAAAAAATATACAGTCAAGTGCCCCCTTTTTGAACAGAGGTGCAGTCCCATGTTGATCAAGTGAGCTCAACTT